GATCACCGGCAGGGAGGAGAGCTGCATTGTTTACCAATAGCCCTTCTCTCTGTTAGTTTGGGCACACTGCTTGGGATGGCTGAGCAGTGCCATCCCGATCAGTGTGCTTTACAGTGAAGCACACACACCCGCCCCCTAGTAAAACACTCCCATCACACAGTTAACCCTTTGATTGCTCCCAAATGTTAACACCTTCCTGTCCAGTGCCATTAGTACAGTGTCAGTGCTTTTTTTTCAGCACTGATCACTGTATTAGTGTCACTGGGGATGTCAGTGACACCAAGTCAGTTCCCTTCAGTGTCAGAATGCCCGCCGCAGTCCCGCTATAAGTCGCTGATCGCCGCCATTATTAGTATAAAAAAAAATTCCAGTATCTACCGCCATTTGTAAACGATCGCTATAACGTTCACGTAAATTAATTTACACATATTGGCATTTTTTTTTTTTTTGTAAAGACTTGCCGCAGAATACATTTTGGCTTAAATTTATGATGAAATTTTATTTTTTTATTTTTTTTACTGGACATTTTTAATAGCAAAAAGTCCAAAATAATGCTTTTTTTTTTCTTCAAATTGTCAGTCTTTTTATTTTTTTCTAATAGCGCAAAAAATAAACGCACAGGCGATCAAATACCACCAAATGAAAGCTCAATTTGTTGGAAAAAAAGGATATAAATTTAATTTGGGTGCAGCGCTGCATGACTGCGCAAATTGTCAGTTAAAGTAACACAGCGCTATGGTGCAAACCGCTTCTTAAACTGCTTCCTGACCGCCCTATAGCAGAAATACTGCTAGAGGATGGCACGGGTGCGCAAAATCACATATATACGTGATTCGCGCTCCCTTGATTTTCACTCCCCTGCCAGATAGCGCCAGATTGCCCATCAGTGCACCAGTAATTGAACCCCTTGTTTGCCAGGAGCACGCTCATACACAATAAACCTCCATTGCTAGTATAGTGTCTGAACGGATCAATACCTTTGATCAGATCAGCACTATACCAGCATTCACATTAGTATAATGTCCCCAAAACAAAACGTTGGCAGGATCAGCCCCAGCACCTGCTGTCACCTGCATTTAGCCCCTACGCTTAGCCCTTCCCCCTTCTCCCCCAGCAAGTGCAGTGCCAGTAGGTCACTGTCACTTGATACATTGCACACAGAACTAGTGTTCGCAGAATCAGGCCTGATCTCTGCTAGCACTTGCCGGTAAATTTTGATGACTGTCATATGCAGCAGAGTGCCAGTACTAGTGCCCCTCTAGCTTTTGATGAACTGGTGAGCACCAGTGGCCTAGTACATCCTGGTCTTTCACATAACAGCACTGCAGAATCACTTGGTGACGTGGCGAGTCCCATAAGTGCAGTACAAGCTGGTACAGTGGCGAGCACAAGTATTGTCCCGCAACCACCAAGAAAATGGGCATTAGTAAAAAAAAAAAAAAAAAAAAAATGAATTGTGGTTGTATTGGTCCACAAACCTGATTCATCATATGCCCGTGTTCTCTGCTGCCATGGCCAGGCATAGATATGAGAGCATAATGCATGTCAACGACAACACTCTGTCATCCTTGGGGTAATCCTGAATTTGACCAGCTCCACAAAATTCAGCCCCTTGTAAATCACCTTATCCAAAAATTTGCAGATGTCTATACTCCCCCAGCAAAAAAATCTGCGTTGATGAGTCTCTTTAATTTTTCTGGCTGCCTTGCATTCAAACAGTTTCTCCCCAGCAAGCATGCCAGATATGGGGTCAAGATGTGTAAGACCTGTGAGAGGACAACAGGCTATACATATAAGTTTTGGATTTACGAGGGAAAAGATGGAGCCCCCCAGATGCCCAAACTACATGGGAAGTATTGGCAAGATAGTTTGGGACTTATACGTGGACAATTTTTATTCAAGTGTGCCATTATTTAGACATTTGTACAATCTTGGAATTGGCGCATGTGGCATGTGTGCCCACCATAAGAACTGTGTGGACGCAGGGCGGTATTTTCTTAGGGTGGGCATACCACACACTTTTTTTTTTTTTTTTCCTGTGGCAGAGATGTTTCTGACCAGCGACGTACTGGTACATCACTGGACTTTGGTTATACCAGGATGATGCCTACAGCTGCAGGCATCATCCTGGTATCGGTTTTTACAGCCGGCGATCGGCTTTCATGCAAAAGCACACCTAGCAGCTAATTTGTTGCAGGATTGCTTTTACAAAAAGCTGAAGATGATGCCCTCATTCCCCCCCCCCCCCCCCCCCCCCCCCCACTGCCTTCCACAACCTTCTCAGGCGGTCCCTTGCCATCGAGGGAACCTGAGAATGCAGCCGGTGTTTCTGCCAGCTGACCATAGAGCTGATTGAAGACCGGAATGGTGCCAGTCATCTCTATAGTCTAAGAAATTGGAAGCTATGAGCATTTCATCACTTCAGTTTTGCAGGATGTAAACAGCACCATTTGTAAATTGGGAAAGCATCTGATCACACCAATCTTGGTGAGATTAGATAATGTAAAGGTAGAGGAGATATCTAGAGTCTGATAGACCCCAGATTTCTCAAAAAAGAATATATGATAATGCCCATTGAAGTTATAGGGGTTATTTGCATTACCTGTGATAGCATTAAAAAAAAAAAAAAAGGGTTGACCCTGTGCCAGTATGTAAACAGAAGTTGCACCATGCATGTGAGGTCTCGTCACGACCGTCAGATCAAGGGCAGTAATTCGAGCACTAGATGCCCTCTAAGAGCCTTTACAAGCTACCATTTTAGATTCACAAAGCATTGCCTTTGGATATTAAAAATGTATGCAGTTTGTCGCCATTGCACAGGACATGCAATTTTAAAGCATGTCAGGTTTGGTATTTATTTACCTTGCATACCATCATATTTTAGATATTACCAAATAATTGGTCAATATATTGTATTTTTGTGCATTCAAAGTAAAAAAAAAAAACAAAGTGTGGGGTTTGAAAAATCGCTGCACGATTGCAGCACCCACCATTTTATTCACTAGAGTGTGTGCTTGTTATAATGTTTGGGGGTTCAAAGTAAATTCCTAGCAAAAAATACTGATTTTTTTTTTTTTTTTCATTTGAACAAAGTGTCAGAAACTGCTTAGCCTTCAGGTGGTTAGATGAGTGAATGATGTGTGGCGTAAACTTCTAATGCTGGGCATAAAATGCCCCCACCCCCCAAAACAACCCCTTTTTGGAAAGTAGACACACCAAACTATTTGCTGAGAGGCAAATTGAGTCAATAGAAGAATTTATTTTTTTACAAGTTTTTGGAAAATGACAAAAAAAGTATACATTTTTTTTTTACGCAAAATTGTTACTTAAATTATTTATTGCTCACTCATGCCATGGGGTTATGCGGAATTACTCCCCAAAATACATTCTGCTACTTCTCCCGAGTGTGAGGGTACCACATGTGAGAGACTTTTTGGCAGTCTAGCCAAGTTCAGGACCCCAAAATCTAATAAGCATCTTCAGGCATTTAAAGGGCTTTTTGGAAAAAAGACACCACAGGGAATTTGCTAAGAAGCATGGTAAGTATTTTGCAGATCTCGTTTGTTGCCACAAGTTTTTTCTAAAATGAAGAAAGAAAACAAAAACATATATATATATATATATATATATATATATATATATATATATATATATTTTGCACCTCTTTTTAAATTCCTTGGGGGGGGGGGGGGGGGGGTACTTTCCAAAAAAAGGGGTCATCGGGAGGGGGGGATGGTGCTATCCTAGCATTTCAGGGCCTCCGAAACTGTGATAGGTAGTGAGGAAATTACGCACCTTCAGGCTTCCAAAGTGGTCATTGGATTTCAGGCTCCTATATGTAGCTAGGCTCTCAAAAGGTCTCACACGTGGTATCCCCATACTCGGTAGACGTAGCAGAATGTATTTTATGGTGTAATTCCACATATACCCATGGCTTGTGTGAGAAATATATAACTTAAATGACAACTTTGTGTAAAAAAAAAAAAAAAAAAAAAAATGTTTGTAATTTTCCAAAAACTTGTGGGAAAAAAAAATAAATAAATCTCCCATGGACTCAATATGCCTCTCATCAGTTAGCTTATGGTGTCTACTTTCCGAAAAGGGGTCATTTTGGGGGTGTTTGTACTGTCCTGGTTTTTTAGCACCTCGAGAAATGTGATGGGCAGTCGGAAAGTAAAAGCTGTGTAAATTCCATTATCTATACCATAGGTTGTAGACGCTATAACTTTCATACAAAGCAATCATATACGCTTATTGGGATATTGTTTACCAAAAACATGTACCAGAATACATTTTGGCCTAAATTTATGACTTACTTTGAGTTTACTATATATTTGTATAGCCAAAAGTAAAAAAATATTGTTTTTCTTCAAAATTTTAGGTCTTTTTTTTTTTTTATAGCGTGAAAAATAAAAAATGCACAGGTGATGAAATACCATTGAAAGAAAGCTCTATTTGTGTTTAAAAAAAAAAAAAAAAAAAAAAAAAAGACGTTAATTTCGTTTGGCTGCAGCATTGCATGACCGCGCAATTATCAGTTGAAATAATGCCGCGCCGAATAGCAAAAAGAGGCCTGGTCATTAAGGGGGGTAAATCCTCAATATGGCAAGTGGTTAACCTACCTCCTGTTTATGATCTAATTAAGGAAAAGAGAGCATCCATTGAAAAGCTACATAAGCATGGAAAGAACTTGCACAATTGGTATGAATAGTGTCCCTGAGCTAACCTTAAGCCATTACTGCAGGCAGCAATACTAAAAACGAAATCCTCCATAATTTTACATTTCCTCTTCTGCATAGTAACTGCGAACTGACCGCTTATTAAATTTTATGGGTTGTAGAATATGAAGAATCTGATCTGTTCCCTTTTACATTTTATATACATTTAAACTAAATATTTAGTTGATTGTTGTGGGAAGCATTTTATTCAAATACATCGATAAACCTTTTTTTGTAATAAAAAGCCATGCCTTAAGCTGTAATATGTTTGTGTTTTAATAGATATCCAGCCATGTAAAAGCCATTGACACCATCTATCAGTCAACTGATTTCCTGGGTATCCGAAATATTAGCTTCATGGTGAAGCGCATTCGGGTGAGTATTTTAAAAATTTAAAAAAGCGGTAAAATGTTTTTTATGAAAATGATTAGACTGTTAAAGTGGACCTTTTAATAACTTACAAGTCTGCATGAAATACCTGACATGCCATATATAAAAAAAAAATAAAAATACAAAAGAAGGGAAGGCCAAGGCCCTCTTGCGGACTTTAAATCTTCACCCAATCTTCTGTAAAATGGTTGGATGCAAGCTGATCAGTATGATTAAAAAATAAATAGTGCTCAATACCCTATTTAATAGCCTTTAGTTTTACCTGGCAAGGTTGCCCATCTATGTGCATTTTTTCTTCTGGTCTGTGCTATTTATTTCTGGAGCTAGTCACTACAAATGGTGCCCCCATAGGTTTCCCCTGCAGTGACTAATTCAATTCATAGAGTATCAGGGAGAGAAAGTAGAAGAGACTTGTACTGTTCTTGTTCCGCTCGTTGAGGGAGCCTAGTGCATTTGTAATATGTTACACCCTGAATATGGGTTCAACATGTTACAAAAAGTGAACATCTTTTAAATTATGGGAATAATGTGTTTTTGTGGTGTTTTTTTTATTTATATATACATACATACATACATGCTTTCTGTGCAACTACTTTTATTTCGGTTAAAATATTAAATTGTTTTTGGATGAACAAAAAATCTCCTCATCCCTAGTCTCAAATAATCCAGACATCTTGAGCCTAATTACCCATTTCCTGGCACTGGAAATAGTTTCCAGTAGCTTACAGCAATATCAGATGTGAAAAATGGAACTTGCAGATTTATTAATGCCAGAAGCACCGATGGATTTAGAGCCCTTGCAAGTGATTATTTAGTTATGCCGTGTTAGATAACCTAACAGTGCTGGTTTCAGATAACGTATTCGTTGCTTAATTTTCACAACATAAAAACGATGGCATAGGAGACTGTTATATTCCCAAACTTTAGTGCTTCTACAGCACATCTAATTATGAAAATATCAGTCATGTAAAAACTCTGCGACATAAGGTAGCACATGGTCCATTGAACCAATATCATTCACCATATGGTCCTAGTAATGCAGCTTGAGGCTGTATTGCTCTGTATTACATGATCAGCAAGCAGAGAAGACAGACTCAGTGTCATGCAGACAGGCACTGATAACATCTTTAATTTTTGTGTGTATTCTGTATGTAGCTCTGGAAAGATTATGTAGAGAACTCCCACTGCTACCTAGATTGTCTAGCTGTGCGATGTAGTGAAGCAACTAGTAGGCTTTCCAGTAGTTTGAGCTGTAAGCAGAGAAATGCATTAGCATTATACACAGACTACAGCATTCATTCTTGTTTTTCAGATCAACACTACAGCTGATGAGAAAGACCCCTCTAATCCATTTCGCTTTCCCAACATTGGAGTGGAGAAATTCCTAGAGTTAAACTCTGAGCAGAACCATGATGATTACTGTTTGGCTTATGTGTTTACAGACCGAGATTTTGATGATGGCGTCCTTGGGCTTGCCTGGGTTGGAGCCCCTTCAGGTACTGGTTTTTGTTAGTAATTTGTGTGTAGGGAAGGAGTTACTAACAAAGGCATGAAATCACAGACAGGTACACTTGACACACTGACTGGTATACCTAAATCCAGTGATCATCTCTTCAGTAAGATACTACCTATAGAGAAAATAACTTCTTATGCTGCTGCCTTCAGGATGTTGGAACACTGGCAAAACAAAATGTTAAGCCAGTCCCCATACAACCTTGCCTCCAGTGGTAATGCTTCAGTTTTTGCTAGTGTCCTAGGAGGTTTGGACACCTTTTTCCTCAGCTGTGTGTGGAAAACCTCAATTTTTTTTTTTTTCACAATTGTTTTCTCTTCAGTCAAGATATTTGTTATACTGTATACGTTTTTCCATTGTTAAATACTCTGCTCGAACTGATATCCTCACAGCAGCTATCCAGAATTGAATGTGGAATGTGACTTTTCAGCAGCACTGGGCTATGCTAGTGGTGATTTCCAGGCCTTAGTGTTCTCTTTTAGGCTCAGAGAGCTTTCCAGGTTCAAAGCAGTTGCACAGCCTCTGGTGAGTGAGCCTGTGGTTATGGCAAAGATAATCTTGGTAAATCCTCTTCCAGTAATGAGCAATGTATTGTTGCACTTTCCAGACCTTGGTACGGTGTCAATTGACTGCAGAACGTCGTCTCCCTGTCCAGAGCCATGACAGTTCTGCTTGTACGGCCTGGGCTCTGAAAGCTCACTTTATTTTATAGCAGAAAGAGAAAATGTTTGTGGGGGTTTTTTTTTTTTTCTATACAGCAAACAAATGAAAAAACCCAGTGGTGATCAAATACCATCAAAATAAAGCTCTATTTGTGTGTGCACAAAATGATAAAACTTTTGTTTGTGTACAGCATTGCATGGCTACATAGTTACCAGTTAAAGTAGCGCAGTGCCAAACCGCAAAAAAAAATGACTTGGGGGTGAAATCTTCTGAAGTGGTTAATCTTGATTGAGTTTCTCTTTAGGAAAGTTTCCTATGATAATCCAGATCAATCCTCTGATACGTGCCCTCTACATTGCAACTAGGGGATCAGAATGCTTTTCCATTCATCAAATCTAAAGTTGTGGGCAGCAGATGCCTTCCCTGAATATTCTGCTTGTAAAACTTTCCTTTTGAGAAAAGTAATATGTGAAGTCATGGTATACGTCTAATAATGTGGGGGAGTGTTTTTTCTTTCCAAGATAATTTTTTGCCCACAGTGGACAATCTAATCAAGCCCCTTAAAGACATGCCACCTAACTGGTTTGTAGTGTTTCCATTAAGGATTGCCTAGATTTTCTGCGTTTATATCGGTTTGAGTTGTCTAACTGCCCTTCCCAGTTTTTTGCATCCATGTCAGAGTGGACTATCTCTTATCAAAAGAGACCGTTCCTTTTCCAGGGCAGACCCACATACTCTGGAGTTTTTTAAATAATTGATTTATATTTTCACTGAGACTGCCTCCTATAAGCAGCTAAGGTTGCGTCTCTCCTGGGTATTATGTTCGTTCACATAAAACCGTTTTGGCTCCAGGACTGGATGATGCCCTTGTTTCTTCAACTGCTTCTACAGCAGCTCCTTCTAGACATCCGTTTTAATTTTGATGTCAAATTTCAATTTGATTTTAGTCAGACTTTTGACAAAATGCAATTTTAGTTTTAGTCGTATTTTATTCATCTGAATAGCTTTAGTCATATTTTACTCAACTAAATCCAGTATATTTTAGTCACCAAAAAATAATTTGTCAACTAAGATCTGATGCATTTAGTTAAATTGTAATGCATTATTTAAGCACGTCTCTAGAATTTCCAAACTCATTATATACTCCTGGAGTAAAAATCTAATAATATGTTATTTATGGTATTAAGGTTTGAACATGCCCTACAGACAGATTTAGCCTTTTTGATATATAACAAGTGTTAGCTTTGATGTTGAATTTCGATTTCGTTTTAGTCGGTCTTTTAAATAAAATGCCATTTTAGTCTTAGTCGTATTTTTAGTCATCTAATTTTTTAGTGGTATTTTAGTCGACTATAATAGTGTTAATTTAGTCAATGAAAATATTTTTGGCAACAAAAATTAACACTGCTAGACATAGTTTCTCTCATGCAGCATGGAGTTCTTTGTTTCTTGAGACTTCGGTTAAAGGATAAATTCACTTTGAGAGAGTGCATTTATCCTGTCCACCACTTTAAACAGACCACGCGCACACACTCACACACTCTGCCCAAATGCATACTTGCCTCAATGGTGGCTGCTTCTTCTGGGGATTGTTTACAAGTCCCTCTGAGTCCTGGCTGCTCCTGTGCAGTAGAGCCCCTTTCCTGTCTACCGCTTTAAACTGACCTAGCACTCCCCTCCAACTGCCCAGATGCACACTTTCCTCAATCTTATTGCTGCTTTTTCCGGGGATTGTTTACATCCCATGCAACAAGTCCTTCTGACTCCTGGCTGCTCCTGTGCAGTAGAGCCTCATTGAAGTCTATGGGGCTCATTTGTCTGCGGTTCCCATCCAGGTTCCCTATCCTGGCAGCAATTCTCCTCCAGTCTGTTTCTCCGAGGCATTCAATTTTCATCTCCATAGCTAAATTTTGTTCTTGTTTGAACATTCAGAGTCTTTACTCTGTGACTGTGTCCTTCTTTTGCAAGGAAACATTGTTTACTATTTCTCATGTACCTCCCTAAAAGATCAGCTAACAGCACTCTTTTATTATCTGTTTTTTTTCCCCCTTGTAAGCCCAGAAGTCTTGTGACATTTGATTCTGTGAGCATAGCTTCTCACCTACATTTTCCTGTGCTCCTAGGTATATACCTAACTCAAGGCTCAACAAATCCCAGTCTCCATGCAACTAGAAATTGCATCTTGGAGCCTGGGTTCCCACACTGCCTCCTGTTGACTTTAATGCAAAAAGGCCTCCCGTTGACTTTAATGCAAAAAGGCCTCCCGTTGACTTTAATGCAAAAAGGCCTCCCGTTGACTTTAATGCAAAAAGGCCTCCCGTTGACTTTAATGCAAAAAGGCCTCCCGTTGACTTTAATGCAAAAAGGCCTCCCGTTTAATGACTCCCGTTACTTTAATGCAAAAAGGCCTCCCGTTGACTTTAATGCAAAAAGGCCTCCCGTTGACTTTAATGCAAAAAGGCCTCCCGTTGACTTTAATGCAAAAAGGCCTCCCGTTGACTTTAATGCAAAAAGGCCTCCCGTTGACTTTAATGCAAAAAGGCCTCCCGTTGACTTTAATGCAAAAAGGCCTCCCGTTGACTTTAATGCAAAAAGGCCTCCCGTTGACTTTAATGCAAAAAGGCCTCCCGTTGACTTTAATGCAAAAAGGCCTCCCGTTGACTTTAATGCAAAAAGGCCTCCCGTTGACTTTAATGCAAAAAGGCTCCCGTTGACTTTAATGCAAAAAGGCCTCCCGTTGACTTTAATGCAAAAAGGCCTCCCGTTGACTTTAATGCAAAAAGGCCTCCCGTTGACTTTAATGCAAAAAGGCCTCCCGTTGACTTTAATGCAAAAAGGCCTCCCGTTGACTTTAATGCAAAAAGGCCTCCCGTTGACTTTAATGCAAAAAGGCCTCCCGTTGACTTTAATGCAAAAAGGCCTCCCGTTGACTTTAATGCAAAAAGGCCTCCCGTTGACTTTAATGCAAAAAGGCCTCCCGTTGACTTTAATGCAAAAAGGCCTCCCGTTGACTTTAATGCAAAAAGGCCTCCCGTTGACTTTAATGCAAAAAGGCCTCCCGTTGACTTTAATGCAAAAAGGCCTCCCGTTGACTTTAATGCAAAAAGGCCTCCCGTTGACTTTAATGCAAAAAGGCCTCCCGTTGACTTTAATGCAAAAAGGCCTCCCGTTGACTTTAATGCAAAAAGGCCTCCCGTTGACTTTAATGCAAAAAGGCCTCCCGTTGACTTTAATGCAAAAAGGCCTCCCGTTGACTTTAATGCAAAAAGGCCTCCCGTTGACTTTAATGCAAAAAGGCCTCCCGTTGACTTTAATGCAAAAAGGCCTCCCGTTGACTTTAATGCAAAAAGGCCTCCCGTTGACTTTAATGCAAAAAGGCCTCCCGTTGACTTTAATGCAAAAAGGCCTCCCGTTGACTTTAATGCAAAAAGGCCTCCCGTTGACTTTAATGCAAAAAGGCCTCCCGTTGACTTTAATGCAAAAAGGCCTCCCGTTGACTTTAATGCAAAAAGGCCTCCCGTTGACTTTAATGCAAAAAGGCCTCCCGTTGACTTCAATGCAAAAAAAACTCCTGTCAATAGCAATCCTATGCGAACACTGAACTCCGCATGCCTTTCTATTCTATCACTTAAGAGTCTGGAGCGCACTGCAACAAACTCGCACAGGACCCTCTTCGTAAGGGCACTAAAAACGCAATGCGTGTGCATTGCATCTGTGTGAACCACCTCAATAGGATCACATAATATCTAGCCTGTCATGTGAAACGGTGAGTTTTAAAACGCATCCAGAATTGTATATGTGTGAACCAGGCTGGCTCCGTTCAGACCTGGGAAGGTTTAGGTGCCATTATTTTCAGTGACACCTGAAAATGTGGTGATGTTTTGGCATGATTGTCCTGCAGTAAATCTTATTGCATGAAACTTGTCACCCAAAAGTTGCTTTGCCACTGACAACCCATGCTACATGAAAAAATAACTGGCTTCTAACTTTTCTAGCTGGCTCCTAGATTCAGAGCAATTTTGTCATGCCCTGTCCTAACTGATTCCCCATGGTAGAATCTGCGCATAATTCAAAATGTACTGATTCCTAGAATCATATATTTTATACTTGGACAAGCAAAATGAATTAAAGCCATCACAATTTTCAAACAATTTTTTGGTATGACTAGTATTGATTCCTTGTCATCCATCAGTTATTTTTCTCTTATTGGCATTACAATTTAACTTCAGCCTGCATTTTGTACTCTATAAGTGTTTTCTTACCCCACTCTTTTTTCTTTTTTAAGGAATGTGGGTTGCTATACTTCTTTTTGTTCTTAAT